CTTTTCAGTTCCTTGAGTGGCCCAAGTTGGTTCCCTCAGGGCCTTTGCACTTACTGTTCCTTGCATTTAGCCCTCTTCCTTCTTGCCCTGCAGGAGTCCATTCAAACATCACTTCCTACCTAGGGAGCCTCCACCCTACCCTGCTCTTCATTACTTTCCAGGGTTTCTTTACAGCCCTTACTGTCCCTCCAAAACACCTAGTTCAAGCATGTGTCTATTTGCCTAAGACCTTGGACGCAAGCTGTTTGAGGCAGGGAACGCTGTGCTCTGGCTTGCTGCTGACAGCCAGACCCCAGAATAGGAGAAGCTCAGGCAATATTGGATGGATGGATGGATGGATGGATGGATGGGACATGGTGATATTAAGGGACTTGCCTGACCACAAAGCAGCAGCAGAGCTGAGCACCAACCAAGACCATTGGACCCCAATCCTGTGGGCTTAATCCTAGAGAAGTGTTGCCCCCACAGTTTTTGGTTAAAAACCTGGCTGCCTGGGTTGGGATCCCTGCTCCACTAATTCACTATGTGTCCTTGGCAAGGCATCTTTACCTCTCTGAGCCTGTGTTCTCGTTTGTAAAATGAGGACGTTAACGATTCTAACTCTAGTGGATTAAATGAAGTAGCACACGGCCTGGCAGGAGTACTGCTAATAACTGTAGCAACTGTGGCTGGCATCACTTTCCCGCTTCGATAATTAGAGCGTGGGGGCGACTTGCCTGCCTCCCCAAGCTGGGTATCTGGGTGTGCCAGGCTTGCCCTCCCACTCGTTGGACAGGTTTGGGAGAGGGCGGGCAGAGGCGTGGGGCCCAGGAGGGGCTGGCCAGGGTTAATTAGAGGGAGCTGGCTGGGAGGAGCTGGGGGAGAGGGGCTGAGCAGAGGCTGTGCAGAAGCTCAACCTCCAGAGCCCCTAGTTGTGTGAGACTATGGGTCGGGGCTTAAATTCTGCCAGACTCAGGCGCCAGAAACGGCGCCTGCAACATCGGGTCCAGAAGTCCAGGCAGCAGCCAGAGGTGAGGGGGCATCAGGGAGCCCCACCTCATGGCCGGAGGGGGGTGGTGGTCAGCCCCTCCTGTCGGGCCTGGAAACTTCTCTCTACTGTGCCCCACCCTGCTCTCCTTTTCTCTGAATCTGCCTTTTGCTCTCTGCCTGCTTCCTCCTTGTCTCAGACTCCCTCAAACTCTTTAGGTCTGTTTCTCCGTCTGGGGCTCTCGTGTCTGTTCGTCTCATCTCTCCCTCTCTCTGACCTTCTGTCCTGGCCCCACAGCGGCTGCAGCAGGAGAATCATGAGCTCCGCCGGGGCCTGGCAGCACGGGGAGCCGAGTGGGAGGCCAGGGCTGTGGAGCTGGAGGGGGATGTGGAGGCCCTGCGGGCCCAGCTTGGAGAACAACGCTCAGAGCAGCAGGACAGTGGACGAGAACGAGCCCAGGCCCTCAGGGAACTCAGTGAGCAGAACCTGCGGCTCAGCCAGCAATTGGCCCAGGTGGGACAGCCCTAACCCATCCAGATTCCTGGGTCCCAGGTGGGGGGTGGGTGCCCTGGGATTGGTGTTGAGGCTGTGGCCACCTCAGGGCTCCATTGTTCCCCTCTCGCCCCCAACCACCACCACCAGGCCTCCCAGACTGAGCAGGAGCTTCAGAAGGAACTAGATGGCCTTCGGGGGCAGTGCCAGGCCCAGGCCCTGGCCAGGGCAGAGCTGAGGACTCGACTGGAAAGTCTGCAGGGGGAGGTGAGTGCCAGCTAGGGCTGGGGGCCTGTGGAGCCAGGAAAGCTGGGCTGGGGGCAATCCGGAGCTAGCCCAGCACCTCCCCTCCAGCTCTAAGGCCTTTCCCTAGAACCAGATGCTGCAGAGTCGCCGGCAGGACCTGGAGGCCCAGATCCGAGGACTGCGTGAGGAGGTGGAGAAGGGCCAGGGCAGGCTACAGGCAACCCACGAGGAGCTGTTGCTACTGCGGCGAGAGAGGCGGGAGCACAGCTTGGAGGTGACCAGTGGGGTTGGGGTGTGTGGGTGCATCCAGCTGGGGCCTTGGCCACTGTCTCAGGTCTTCCTGGGAGATGAGGCCAGAGCTGGGTCAATGGGAGCCCAGCAGCGGGGCCACGAGAGCATAAGACAAGTGGGGCCATGGAAGGGAATTACGCAGGGGTGGCACACTCCTGGAATGCATCAGAACCAAGCAGCTGGGAGGTCAGGAAGAGGTTGAGGCTAGAGCTCAGGGCAGAGATGATGGGGACATGGACCAGGTCTGAGGCGGTAGAGATGGCGAAAAGGGAATCAAATGAGGCAGCGCTTCAGGGTCAAGTTTTCTGGGTTCTTATCCCAGGATCTCTTCTTATATTGTGAAATACCCAGCCTGTTTCCCAAGCTGTGGGATGGGATGGTAATGGTATAGAGCTTTGTTGCGGGTGTGAGGCACGGAGCCCAGCACTGCTGGCTTAGCAGGACGGCTCAGGAAATGCTGGATGATAGCAGTTAGAAGACTGACTGGAAAAAGACAGGGCCGAGCTCTCTGAGAAGTTACCTTATGGGGTGTGGCTGGAGGGAAGGCGATGGAAAACTGTAAAACCCAGGCGCCTATCCGCACCCTGATTTATAGGGGAGGAAATTGGTAAGGGGAAGTGCACAACCCAATTGCCGCCTGGAGACCCAGGAGTGGGGGAGCAGGCACCTATAGCTGGGATGCGCAGACGCGCGGGGCTGCCTGGCCCTCCGCGGCACGCCGGCGCCCTCTATGGGCCAGCCGCGGGATGCCTTGCGGGTGCGCCTGGCTGACCGCCTTCGCTTGTCTATGGGTGCATGCACAGCTGGAATGTGCGCGCTCCGAGGCCAGGGAGGCACTGAGTACCCTGCGGAGGCTGCAGCGGCGAGTTTCGGAGCTGGAGGAGGAGTCACGCCTGCAGGACGCCGACACATCGGGGGCCTCGCTGCAGTCAGAGCTTGCCCACAGCCTGGACAGCGACCAGAACCAGAACCAGAACGCAGATGGACACAGAGATGCCCCGGTGAGCTCGAAGCCCCGCAGCCATCCAGGAGGGCTGCAGACTCCACCCCTCTTCCTTTTCCCACGAGGTTCAACACCTCACTGACTAATTCCTTTGGTGAACAGACCACTCTGTCCCCGGAGACCCAGGAGGCATCCAGTCAACAGCCTTCATCCCAGGAGGAGAGCTTGGAGCCTCCCATAAAGAAAGCATCCCTGAGCCCAGGAGAGATACTGGAGGAGGAGATGGAAGTGGCCCGGCTGCAGGATGAGGTGGGCGCAGATGGACACAGAGATGCCCCGGTGAGCTCGAAGCCCCGCAGCCATCCAGGAGGGCTGCAGACTCCACCCCTCTTCCTTTTCCCACGAGGTTCAACACCTCACTGACTAATTCCTTTGGTGAACAGACCACTCTGTCCCCGGAGACCCAGGAGGCATCCAGTCAACAGCCTTCATCCCAGGAGGAGAGCTTGGAGCCTCCCATAAAGAAAGCATCCCTGAGCCCAGGAGAGATACTGGAGGAGAAGGAGATGGAAGTGGCCCGGCTGCAGGATGAGGTGGGGAGGACATAGTGCTGGGTGTAGAGCCCTTCTCAATGTGTTTCTCTTTTCCATCTATAACTCAGCCTTTTTCCACTAATGCCCCTCTACCTGGATAATCCTTCATCCCAACAAACGTGCAGTCATGCTTCAAGAGCCTGCCTGGCCCTGGCCAGTTTTGCTCAGTGATTACAGCGTTGGCCTGTGCACTAAAAGGTCGTGGGTTCGATTCCAGGTCAAAGGCACATTCCTGGGTTGCAGGTTCAATCCCTGGCCCCTATCAGTATGGGTATGGGAGGCAACCAGTCAATGTATCTCGCTCACACTGAAGTTTCTCTCTCTCTTCCCCTCTCCCTCCCTCCCTAAAAAAAGGGGGGGGGGGGGGAATATACTTCGGGAGTTTTTAAAAAAAAAAAAAAAAACCCTTTTTCCCCCCCCCCCCCCCCCTAAAAAAAGGGGGGGGGGGGGGAATATACTTCGGGAGTTTTTAAAAAAAAAAAAAAAAACCCTTTTTCCCCCCCCCCCCCCCCCTAAAAAAAGGGGGGGGGGGGGGAATATACTTCGGGAGTTTTTAAAAAAAAAAAAAAAAACCCTTTTTCCCCCCCCCCCCCCCCCTAAAAAAAGGGGGGGGGGGGGGAATATACTTCGGGAGTTTTTAAAAAAAAAAAAAAAAACCCTTTTTCCCCCCCCCCCCCCCCCAAAAAAAAAAAAGGGGGGGGGGGGGAGGAATATACTTGGTGAGTATTTAAAAAAAAAAAAAAAAGTCAGCCTGTTTGCCACCTCCTCCAGGATGACTTCCTGGATGCATTGCCCCCTTAGTCCCACCTCCCAATGCTTCTCCATGCACCCTTCCTGCAGGTTTATACCACCAAGTAGCCCCACCCCAGCCTGGGGGCTCAGAAGATTCATCTCCAGCACAGGGCCACAGCTGCCTGGGGTGTTTGTGGAGCAGGCCAGGGAAGGGTGGTGGGAAAGCTGAAGTCCAGGCTGCCACGGAGAGCAAGGGCTTGGAGACCCGGAGGCCTACTTGCCTCTCTGCCTCCTCCCCTGCCTGCAGATCGAGCTTCAGCAGGCAGAGGTCCAGTCCCTGCGGGAGGAGCTGCAGAGGCAGAAGGAGCTGCGGGAACAGGAACCCGAGGAGGCACTGAGCTGCGCCCTCTCGGACAGGGAAACGGCTGTGAACAAGTGAGCCTGCCTCCGCCATTCACCACCTCCCTCGCAGGGCTAAAGGTCCCCAGCAGGGCACTCCGGTCCTTCTAGGCCTCACTGGTGACATGGGTTCTAATTTGCCCCACTCCGACCCAGGGGCCCTCTGACCTCCTTGGTTTCGGTGTTCCGGGTCCCACTCCTGCCCGGGTCCAGGAGGCCCCGCCCACCCCCGATCCCCTGCTCGCCCTCTAACTAGCTCTCTGCCCTGCCGCTTGCAGGGCCCTGGAACTGTCCCTGGAGCTCAGCCGCGTCTCTCTGGAGCGGGACTCCCTCTCCCGGGAGCTGCTTCGCACCATCCGCCAGAAGGTGGCGCTGACGCAAGAGCTGGAGGCCTGGCAGGTAAAGG